ACGTCATCTTCTGGTTGCTGCACAATGGTGGATGGCAGGGTTTCACTGAACTGGGTCTGATTTTTGGATTAGGGCTTATATTACAGGCATCCTGAAAAATCACACTAGGGCTTATTTTCAGGTTAGGTCTTATTTTCAGGGAAACAGGGTATATAGTGACAGTATTCTTCGCCTCTAAAAAAGCAATGTATTCTTGTTTTAAGCTGAAAAATGCTTTGCCTGGTCATTAGAAGACAGGAGTTCTTGCTCTAATTCAGGGGCGGGCAATTAATTTCTATATATTAGAAGACAGCAGTTCCTGCTCTAATTCAGGGGCGGGTAATTAATTTCTATACAGGGGCCACATGAAAAAAATCTGAACTGTGTTCAGGGGCCGAACCAACTTTACTTAAAAATAAAATGTAATAGTGATGTTACGATTTCTTTTATTTTAAACTTGTTAATCTTCACAAATAATAAAGAGGGTTTTTTTTGCAGTATGTTAAAGATAAGCAACTGATCAAGTTTAGACAAAAAGCTATAAATGGTTTTGATGCTCAAAACTCTCCTCGGGCTGGACAGGAGCGGCTTGCGGGCCGTATGTGGCCCTCGGGCTGCACTTTGCCCAGGTCTGCTGTAATTGGATGTCAATGGTTTAAAAGGTAGGTGTTGGCTAAACCTTTCATTCCCAATCAGTGGCTAAAATCCTGTTTGTTCCACCCAGCAGCGTAATGCAAACAAGCCTAAATCTTGGTGGCAAATTGCCACTGATTAAGATATTAGCTGATGTGCACCAACTTGTACCTGGCATCAAACGACCATGCCAACAATAATTTATGAACTTGGGACAAGTCACCACTGAGATTTATTCTAACGGTGTTACACCAGCATAGAAACACAATCAGATTTTGGCCTTTGGCCCTCAAGGCAGTTTTGACGTCAGCTCCTCAAAGTCCCTGATGACAGCCACTGATCTAAGATTCCGGGAACTGAAGCCCCAATCCTTGGAAGACCAATGGTTGAGAGAGCGTCTAGGCTGAAAGAGTCTCAGCTGGTTCATAGACTGCTTCAATACGTCTAGGATTGTCTGCAATGAAATAAAATGTTTGGTCACAGTGCACAAATATCAGTGAGTTCAAGAGACTGAGAGTATGTTGGTGAACTATAGTTATAGTGGTTCAAGATTATTTTAACTGCCACATCTGTCTTATGTCCAAGTGTGGTGAGTTCCTCAGAAATCTCTGTCAGCAACCTGGGCTATAGCAGAGAATAAGTATTCTAGATCGGTGGTTCCCAACCTTGAGTCCACCAGTGTTCTTGGACTGACATTTCCAGAAGCCTGCACCACTAGCTATGCTGGGCAAGATTTCAGGGAATTGTAGTCCAAGAACGTCTGGGGACCCAAAGTTGGGAACCACTGCTCTAGATTGCCTTTGTGTCTCTGTGCATGTGCAGGGTGTTTCAGTAACTCACAGACCTCTTGCAAAAGAGGCTTTGGGGTGTGGTTTCTGAGCACTGAAATCTAGAACATCCAGAAGGCCAAATGTTCCTCACTCCTGGACTCTGAGCACTGAAATCTAGAACAGTGGTCCCCAACCTTGGGCCTCCACATGTTCTTGGACTTCAACTCCCAGAAATCCTGGACAGCAGAGGTCATGGTGAAGGCTTCTGGGAGTTGCAGCCCAAGAACATCTGGAGGCCCAAGGTTGGGGATCACTGATCTAGAACATCAAGAAGGCCAAATGTTCCTCACTCCTGGACTACTGTATTAAAAGAGTTGTAAATTTACACATTGAGGTAAATTTAATCCACCTGGAGAGCCTCCTGGCCACGAAACAGTGTAGAGAATTGTAGGATCATAAAGTTGGAAGGGGCTTATAAGACCATCGAGTCAAATTCCCTGTTCAATACAGGAATCCAAATATTTATTTATTTATTTATTTATTTATTTATTTATTCAATTTCTACGCCGCCCCTCTAGACAACGTCTACTCGGGGCGGCTTACAAACATTAAAACACATTAATATTAAAAGAGTTGTAAATTTACACATTGAGGTAAATTTAATCCACCTGGAGAGCCTCCTGGCCACGAAACAGTGTAGAGAATTGTAGAATCATGAAGTTGGAAGGGGCCTATAAGACCATCGAGTCAAATTCCGTGTTCAATACAGGAATCCAAATAAAAATATATCTGCCAGGTGGTTGTCTAAATTTCTCTTGAATGCCTTGCCTATAGTAGTTACCCAGTTGGAGTGATCTTTTTCTTACTTCAGGTTTTAAACCAAATATTAGAACAGCCCTGGAAGATGGCATTTGGTTGGGTGAGGTAAAGGACAAAATGGCACCCTGCCTCCCTGTATAAATGAACTAGACTGGTGGCTAACAGTACAGTAGGGTTTATGAACACATGGACCGCCAGATATTTTGAACTTCAACTCCCAGAATCCCTGCCCATTGGCCATGCTGGTGAGGCTCCTGGAATTTGAAGTCGAAAACATCCAGGTGGCCTAAGTATGAAAACCATTGCAATAGAGCAGTAGTTCTTGGGTCCCCAAACATTTTTGGACTGCAACTCCCAGAAGTCTTCACTGCTAGCTGTGCTGGCCAGGGCTTCTGGGATTTGCAGTCCAAGAATGGACCTAAGGTTAGGAACCACTGTGATAAAGTATCTTTCATTGCACCCTGGTTTAGTTGAGCCAAGATGGTCCATGTGGCTTATGCAGTGATGCCCTCCAACGACTGGAAGTGGCCGGAAGGTGCAAGGAAGGAACAGCAGAGGGACTGCTATGGTCCTCCAACATTGCCTAACTGTAGGGCTGGCACTGCCTGGAACAGAGCAATTACATGGAAAGCCCACCCGATGGAGACATGACACACCTATGCAGTCACTGGTTGCTCTAAAAAGGAAGATGGATTTTGGCTACCAGCCTGCTCCTTTGGCACATCATCCTTTCACTCATTCTTCAGGGCACCTGCTTGAATGTACAGTTAACAAGCCCTTGGCAAGGACTTCAGAACAGGTCGCTAGTTAGAGCTGATTGTCTTGCCTGTGAATCTTTGAACTAAGCATGTTCCCTGATAGAGCAAATGCTTCCAGTTTCCTGTATCAGAGAATCATTATAATATCCAATTTCCGAGTGCATTCAATGTATCAGATGTCTGAAACTGAAAGATTGCCTGTTAGCTACTCAGGGCAAGGACCCAGCTTTCTTTTAGCTATATAAGGCACATACAAGTCACCTTTCTCAAATGTGGCTCGGTCCAGATGTGTAGGACTACAGTCCCCATCATCCTGCAAATGATGGGAATTGTAATACTATACATCTCAAGGATACCATGTGGGGGGCAGATTGCTTTTACTCAAAACTGCTTAACAAGCTTTCCAGCTCCAATGAGATGAAACTAGACTTTCGACTCTCGTATTATTACAAATGGGTATTTTGCTTTTATGTTACATTCTCTCCAAGGAGTGGCAGGGTTCTCTCCCACCCTTTCATCTCATTAACAGCCTTCTGAGCAAATTACACCCAAGGTCATCCAGTGGGCTTGATATCCTAGTTTGGAGGAGCTTAACAGTTTGCAGAGCTGGTCAAGGAAGGGCTCTCTAGGTAGAAATCAGGACCCTGGTCAGTTCCCAGCAAACTAATGGAAGATATTCACTCAACAGGAAGATGAATCAATCTATGGCCTTACGAGGTGGTGCTGATAAATATTGAGCCTTTCCCAGAAAAAACTGAGCTAGGAAGCCACACTATTCTACATATTCCCCCAGGAAGACAATGCACTTGCAGCACATCTATCTTGCAGCTTCTTAAGTCCCTGCAAATAAAATTCTTCTGACTGCTGGTAGATCCATGTCAGTAGACCCATGTATCATCACCAGTTACTGATTTGCCCAGGAAATCTGACTCATTTCTTGCCAAATGTTCCAAAACAGCCACCGATGAGGACTCCACACATTTCCTCTTTTGTTCGGTTGTCAAAAGTTTGGGGATCCACTTTGCTGGCAGCTTTCTCATTTCCAAGTCGTTGTGGATAATGGCACCAACTCTCTCACGTGATATTCTCAGATATATAACATTACTTTTGGCTGATATTCAGCAGTCCTCCATAATCATGTCATGGATGGCTTTCACCTTTGCAGGCATAGAGACAGAAACAGGCCTTCCACTGGGTTTCTCACTTTCAACACCAAAATGGCCAGTTTAAAAATTGACAACCCAACGTTTAACTGTTGCGTATGAAGGGCCACTGTCACCCATAGTTTGTGACATTTAATCATGGATCTGCTTTGCGCCTTTCCCTTGGAGAAACAGGAACTTGATTATGGTCCTATGCTCTTCCACACTGAACTTTTCTGGAGGTGCTGCCATGTTCACTTTGGAGCTGAACATAAAAGATAAGTTAAAATCATAGGTAGTTCATTTTTGCACCATTGAATACAGACAGATTGGCCAATGTACCCTGCAATTTATAGCTTCCTAGCTCAATTTTTTTTTCTGGGAAAAGCTCAATACCTATCTGCACTCCCTCGTATAATGTTGAACAAAGCACATTCTGCATTAGGCCCCACCTCCTTGTGGGTGCCAGTTGTGTCCTTTAAAGCAGCCATTCTCAAGCCTTTGTTGGCCATGACCATAAATGCAATATGAAATAAATATAGGCCGAATCAGAATTGTATAAGTCACATAGCGAACCTAAGGTGGTGTGTGAAGAATTGTTTCTGGTCTGTGGCCCTTTTCAAATATGCCAGGCTCCCCACCCTCTGCTAGAGGCCATATGGTCTAAATGGGCAGGATATAAATTAAATAAATAAATACGGCCCCTGTTGAGAATGGCTGATCAAGACTACAGCTGGTTAGCTTCCCTTAACTTAAAGGGACAGAAGCATTTGAAAGACTTCTACTAACATTAGGCGTAAGAATAACATTCTTTAAAAATGAACAAATGAATAAACATGGTGTGCTGTTTTCAAAGAAATGACGAAGCTCTGCTAATATGGCAATGTTTCCTTCTTCAGTGCGGAACCTACTAGAAGCGGAGAGCTGTCACTCTGAAGGTCTTCCCCGTTGGTCTCCAGCTCCACCACAGACCATCTGAACGTTTCTGAGTGAGTTGACAACCATTCCCTGAGGCATACATTTCTCTGTCAGAACAAAATGGGTAGGCAGTGATCCCTTTCAGCCATGATCAATCTGTGAACATCTTTCTCCTGTGAGTGACTGGTTGACATTTCATCCTCTGGTATCAAGTTTATCTGCTTGCGCAGATGTGTGCATTCTCTGTTTCTAGCATGTTGTTACTATTTTCTGAACCCCTGTTTGTTTTTAGCTGTATTTATATCCTACTTTCTCTTTATTGAATACCACGCAGTATACATTCTTCTTTTCCTCCCCTCTTATCTTCTGAAAAACCTTGTAAGGTAGGTCAGGCCAAGAAAGTGTTATTAGCACAAGTGAGTTTCATGGCTCAGTGAGGACTAGAATCTAGAGCTCTCAGATCACAGTCAAAGACTTTTACACCAAAAGCTGAGCTTGGCAAATACAGCCTAAAAACCACATGCTGGTTGGAGTATTCTGGGAACTGTAGTTCACAAAAGCAACTTTTCTGTTCCTTACAGTGATACAACGGGAGGTTCATCATCTCTGATTGGTGGGCATTTTAATTTTAAATTATAAATATACTCTAATGATCATTCCAAGCTATCTGTTGTTCTATACTGTAAAATATTTGCTTTGTTAAATTTGAAAGATATTGTATTGTCCGTACTGTAAAGGTAAAGATCATTGTAAAGATAATTTATATTTTAGGTTTTTAAATATTTCCCAGTATAGTATGATAGATATTTCTCAACATATTCTCGCTGGTTCATTTATCATGTATTAGGTATTTACTGTACTTCCCACCAAGAGAGACCTTTTCCAGGATTCGTTCATTTATCATGTATTAAATATTTACTTCCCACCAAGAGAGACCTTTTCCAGGGAATGGAATGATAGTAATATAAAGCAACAAGTATCAAAATGCATACAATAAATCAGCACATTTAAAATATAAAACAATATGGACTAGAACCTTGATCTTTCTTAATCTGTGAAGTCTGTCCTCTGCATGGTGCTGGGAGATGCCAACATAAGGAACAAGAAACCAAATTTTCTAAGCACAGCCATACTGCTTATGCCTCTGGTGAGAATTTGGACTTACTAGTTTTTATACATATTCATTTGTCTATTGCAGATTTTTGTGGGGCTTTTCTGGGCATTCCTGCAAGCTCTAAGTCAGGTAAACATTAGAGTGGCATACTGTTGCTAAAATTTAGCATTTGTGCCATAGCGCTGCACAGCACCAAAACACTGAGGAGTGCTAGTGCCCTCTTTTGGGATTTTAGAGCAAAGCAATCAAAGTGATTTATTTGTTGATTAGTTTACCATATGTTAGGGATGTGGTGGCACTGCGGATTAAACCACAGAAGCCTCTGTGCTGCAAGGTCAGAAGACCTGCAGTCATAAGATCGAATCCATGCGACGGAGTGAGCCTCTGTCGCTTGTCCCAACTCCCACCAACCTAGTGGTTGAAAGTCATGCAAAATGCAAAATGCGGATAGATAAATAGGTACCACCATGCTGGGAAAGTAACAGCATTCCGTGTCTAGTCGCACTGGCCACATGATCATGGAAGATTGTCTTCTGACAAATGCTAGCTCTATGGGTTGGAAATGGAGATGAGCACCGCACCCTAGAGTCGGACATGACTGGACAAATTGTCAAGGGGAATCTTTACCTTTACCTTTACCTTTACCTTATCATATGTTAAGTACTTACCTTCGTTATTTGGCAGGAGAGACCTTTTCCAGGGAATAAGAAAAGATAAGAAGTATAGTATCAAAATGCAACACTAAATCAACACAATTAAAATCTAAAACAGTGGAGGTTACAGAGAGGTGTTAAAAAACTATCACCAAAAATACTGTTCATTTAAAATGCCTGGGATAATTTTTAAAAGTATTCATTCTGTCCAAATTGGGAATACTCATGCTGGCATTAAATATCATATTGCTGTGTGCCAATGAGTGCATAGATCTGTGGCAGGACACATCTTTTCATATAGTGGCCTAGAGTTTTGGCAATTGAGGAAATCTGAGTTCCAGTCTTCACTCATCCCTGAAACTCCCTGGCTGACCTTGACCCAGTCACCCTCTGCCAGCCTGATTGACCTCACAGGTCTGTAGTGATATGGGGGCAGGGTTGGGGGAGAACCATGTATACCACCTTGAGCTCATTGGGGGACACAGGAGATATTGGTGGATCTCTCTTCCTGTGTCTTCCTCCTAAAGCTGAAACTTACAGTCTCTTGGAAGAACAGCTGCCAATAGTGCCAAGGATTGCTAAGACATTCTTGAGAAAATCACAAGGAATCTCTGATTGGTTGGCAGATTTTGGCAGAATGTCTCATTTGCTCCCTTTTGGTGGCCTTGCAAATATATTTGTCTCCCAAGATATAACGCCCGCAGGAAGAACAGTGAGACAGTTGGTGCCCTTTCTTCCATTTGTGGAGGTCCATCACAGCTGTATCTTCAAGGTCAGATTATTATTTAATGCTCTCCCATTCAAGACAGTCCAAACAATCATCTTTCATTCAACCTGTGCCTCATTCTTTTTCCTAGGTCATCCATCTCCATTCTTCACCAGTTAACAAGATGAAATATTTCTACAAGACGCTTCCAGTCCTCTGTGTCTTCATTGAAGGTATTGCTTTGGAAGTTAGGATGCAGTCAAGCTCTGCTATGTTGTCCCAGCACACTTGATTGCTGTGACTGTCCAAGTCAAATACAACCCACGAGACATGTAGGGCAACTTTCCCGGGACCTCCTGAGCCCTTACAGTGTTCTGTATACCATTGGCCCCCAACCTTGGGCCTCCAGATGTTATTGACCTACAGTTCCCAGAAGCCTTCACCACCACCTCTGCTGGCCAAGATTTCTGGGAGTTGAAGTCCAAGAACATCTGGAAGCCCAAGGTTGGGGATCACTGCTGTATACCCCTCCCTCAAGGTGGGCCTCATGTTAGTGGTCAATGCTTGGATGGGAGATGATCAGGGTCGAGCAGGGGTCTCTGAGTACAGCTAGAAGGAACCCCACCTGAAATCCAGGAGAGCTACTGTGGTTGACAGTCCTGAGCTAGATGGACCCGCATAAGACAGCTGCTTCTGATCCTATGTCTCTTTTGGAAGAGCATCAGCTTCGGAAAGACTGCTGTATCGACCATGCTGGGCTATGTCTGACTTGATATAAGGCAGATTCCCATATTCTTATAAATATCATCTGCAGGAATTTAGATCATTGTTACAAGATCGCTAAACTGGCAATGAGCAGGTTCCTGGTGGTTCAGGGGCCATGTTTTTGCACAGCGGCCTGCACTCACCATGAATGGCGCCAGGCCCTAGAAATCAAGCTGCACCAACTAGAAGTTCCACTTCTGGATTCATTAAACCCCTTGCAGGGTTTGGGGCTCCAGGTTGTTTTAAAAGGACAATGATTGCTTCCTTCCAGAAGCTTCGATTCCCTCTTTCTCGCTGTCTTTTGTCACTCAGTGGAGGGACTTCCATTTTCCAGAAGGAGAAGGGACTAGGGAAGATCATGAGTCACACAATTTGGTGGGGATCACTCATGAGAGAGAGAGAGGAAGAGAAAGAGGGAAAGGGAGGGAGGGAGGGAGAAGCAGAGGGAGAGGGAGAGGGAGGGAGGGAGAGAGGGAGAGGGAGGGAGCAATTGTATGAAATGTCAGAATGAACTTGTTACAAGTGAACACACCTGAAAGGGACATGGACTGGAAAGAGATTGATTTTCCCCATCCTTAAT